TAGTGCAAAAATACTTATGAATAAGTTCGGCAAAAGATATACAGGACTTAGACAATGAAAATTGCAAAACATTGCTGAAATAAATAGAGTAAACTTATATATAAGGAGTACTGGAAATCTTTATATAAAGCTCTTTTTCTGGGTTTATAAAATCACCAATAGATAAGCATTTATGAGCTCTCTACTTATAAAAATAGACTTCATGTTCCCCATGCTAATTTTGCATTCAATTCTACTACATTAAAATATAATTAAGAAAATTAAATAAGGCCTTAGAAATTAGCAACAAACAAGATCTCTGAACTAATTTGGATTTTCTAGGCAAACTGGAAGTTGTTGCCTTGGGCTAGAGGGAAAGAAAAGAATGAAATTCTAACTATTTAGCTTAGCTCAAGATTGGTCTCAACAATCCATTCCAGAAATAGATAAGAAGCCAGATTTAGGAATAAGAGTTGTAAGTAAGGTGGGGTAGGGACCTGGAAGAGATAAACTAGGAGCCAGCAAACTTGGTCCATAAAGGACCACGCAGGAAATATTTGAGGCTTTGTGATTACACAGCCTCCTTTGCACTTACTCCTATGTGTCGTAGTGCAAGAGATACTGCATGGTTTAAAATAAAAAAGGGAGTGTGTCAGAGTTGTATCCTTTCACCATACTTATTCAATTTATATGCTGAGCAAATAATCCAAGAAGCTGGACTATATGAAGAAGAATGCAGCATCAGGATTGGAAGAAGAGTTGTTAAGTACCTGCAATATGCAGATGACACAACCTGTTTACTGAAAGTGAAGATGACCTGAAGCACTTACTGATGAAGATTAAAGACTACAGTCTTCAGTATGGGATACACCTCAACATAAAGAAAACAAAAATCCTTACAATTGGACCAATAAGCAGCATCATGATAAGTGAAGAGAAAATTGAAGTTGTCAAAGATTTCACTGGTTCCACAATCAACACCAATGGAAAAATCTACTGCAAAAAACCTTCTTAAAGTGCTGAAAAGCAAAGATGTCTCTGAAAACTAAGGTGCACCTAACCCAGGCCCAGGCCATGGTGTTTTCAATTGCCTCATATGCATATGAAAGCTGGACAATGAATAAGGAAAATCAAAGAAGAGTTGATGCTTTTGAGTTGTGATGTTGGCAAAGAATCTGAAAGTACCAAGGACTTCCAGAAAAACTAACAAATCTGTCCTGGAAAATGTGCAGCCAGAAGGCTGCTTTGAAGCGAAAATGGCCAGATTTCATCTCACCTACTTTGGTCATGTTGTCAGAAGGGACCATTCCCTGAGGAAGGATATCATGCTTAGTAAAGTGGAGGCTCAGCAAAAAAATACAAAGGCCCTCAACAAGATGGCTTGACAAAGTGGCTGCAACAATGGGCTCAAGTATAGCAAGGATTGTGAGGCTAGTGGAAGACTGGGTAGTGTTTTGTTCTGTTGTACATAGGATCACTATGAGTCAGAGCCAATTCAATGGCACCTATCAATGACAGTATGTATAAGGAGATAAATACCATGTTCTTGGATGGAAAGACAGTGTCATTTAAATGCAGTTCTCTTCAAACTGGTGTATCTATTCAACATAACCTCAATCAAAAGCCAATGTATAATTTGACAAGTTGATTTTAAAATTTTATAAAGAAATGTAAAAAGTTGGAATTAGAAATGCCATTTTACCCAGCAATTCCATCACTAGGTATATATCCTAAAGAAGTGAGAGCCAGGATAAGAGCAGATATATGCACACTTATGTTCATTGCAGCACTATTTACAATAGCAAAAAGTTGGAAACAGCCTGCATGCTCATCAACAGAAGAAGGATAACCAAACTGTGATACATACACACAATGGAATAGCATGCAACCCTAAAGAATAATGTAGAATATGCAAAACACCACATAATGTGGATGAACTTGGAGGACATTATGCTGAGGGAAATAAGTCAATCACACAAGGACAGATATTGTATAGTCCATTATTGTAAAAAGTCAAGACAAGGTTTCTATATGGAAGGAAATTTTCTTTTTTGGTTACCAGGAGTAGGAAGGGAGGGGAAGGAACACTGCTATGTAGGTAGAGACAAGTATTGATTTGGGTGAAGGGCAGGGCAATGTACCCAATATGAGTGATCAACACAGTGGCATTGAGGAAGAGGAAGACATAGAGGGGTGCGTGGGAGGTGCAGACAACAAAGATGAACCCTTTTGCACATGCAGTACTGTGTTGTCAATGATGGCAAACATTGATCTATGGGTGGATAGATGGGTGGACAGGCTGAACAATTAGGTATATCTATGCAGGGGGGAGTGTGTGCCAATTAGGTACATCTATGCTGGTGAGAGGGTTGGCAGGCAATGTTTCTACAAGTGTATTTGTATGTTGTGTAAAAATTTTTAGGTATATAGTAGAGCTGACAAGTGTAGTCACTTCTTGGCCAAACCCAGCTACCCAGAGGAAGTGAGTAGTTGTACCTCTGAGCTCAGGACCATGGTTGCAGGGGACATCAAGCTCAACTGCCATAACATACTACACAAAAACACATCCTGCTTTGGTGAGAAATGACTAGGATCATAAAAGCCTGAAAGCAGCCATCTAGTTTCAATGATGGATCTCTCCTCATCCAGAGCAAAGAAGAATGAAGAAAACTAAAGATGCATTGAAACAATTAGTCCAAGCGACTGGTACACCATGCAAGCCTCAGCCTATATGACTATGTGACCAGAACTAAAGGGTGCCTGGCTACCACTGCCAACCACTCGGAGGGGGATCTATATAGGAGTTTCTGAATAGAGTGGGAGAACAATGTGGAACTAAACTCAAAATCATAAAAAAAAAAAGGGGGGGGTGTGTGACAAGGTTTACTGGTCTGATAGAGCCTGGTGGAACCACAGAGACTATGGTCCCTAGCTGCCCTTGAGGTCTGGAAATTAACCCATTCCTGTGGATCCAGCCAAACAAAAGACAGGCATATGAGCTGAACATTTACATTAGGTGCATACAGTCCTTAGTGAGATCGATCATGGAAGAATAGAAGGGTGTGTATGTACAGGGAGACAGTTCAGAGAGCAGGAGAGTATAGGAGGAAAAGACACAGGGAAGAGCTGGCTATAGGGAGGAAGTGAGAGGAGAGCTGTTGCATTATGGGAGATTACAGTCAATGTCATGAGGCAAAGTGTATGTGAACTGCTGTATGGCAAGTGAATTTCCTCTGTAAATATTCACCCAAATCACAATAAAATTAAAAAAAAAAAAAATTATAAGGAAATGCAAAGAACCTAGAATAGCTAGAACTATTTTGAGAAACAGAATCCATCTAATTTCAAGCTAAATCTGAACTAGAGTAATGAAAATCATCAGGTATTGACTAAATGATAGATTTATAGATCAATGGAATAGAAGAGAGTCCAGAAATAGAGCCACACATACATGGTCAATTGATTTTCAACAAAGGTGCTAAGTCAATTCAATGAAGAGAGGAAAGTCTTTTCAACAATTAATGATGGAATGACTGGATATCCACATGCAGGGAAACATAAAAAAAGAAAGATGAAGAACTTCAACCCTTACATCACATCACATGCAAGAATCATCTGAAAATGGATTATTGACATAATTGTAAAGGCTTAAACCATAATACTTCAAGAAGAAAACGTAGAAAATCCCCGACTTTGGCATATACAAAGATATCTTAGTTAGGATATATTTTAAATTCTTAGTACTGCTATGATGGAAATACCACAAGTGGGTGGTTATAAGTACAGAACTTTATATTCTCACATTTAAGGAGGTTGGATGTGTGAATGCCTGACATTTACTCCAGGGAAGGCTTTCTCTTTGTCCACTCTGAGGGAAAATCCGTCTCAGCTTCTGTCACCCTAGGAATCCTTGAGTCCTTGGCAGTCTTCACATGACATCTAACCAATTTGTGCTCACTTCCCTCTGTGTTTAATCTGCACTTTTTACATCTCAAAAACCATTAGGTTTAAGACATACTACACAATCCAGTAGGGGTTGATGACTCAGAATTGACTTGATGGCAGTTTGGATTTTTGGTTACTTGCCTAGTGACACCGCCTTGGAAACCCATGAGTTGGATCTGACTGAGTGGCAGTGAGTTTGGTTTGGTTTTTAATATGATCTCATATTAATAATACGGTAGCATAGTGCCTAAGGTACTTGACTGCTAACCAGAAGGCTGGTGGTTCAAACCCACCAGCTGCTCCTCAGAAGGAAGATGGGGGTAATCTACTTCCATGGTGATACTGCTTCAGAAACCCAAGGAGAGGTCACTATGAGTTGGGTCCAACTCGATGGCACATAACAACAACAATATAACAAAAACAACCCTATTCCCAAATGAGATGACATCCACAATTATAGGGGTAGGACAGCATATATTCTGAAGGGACACAATTCATTTCATAACAGGGCACAAGGAAAACAAACCATAAAAATGATAAACAGGATTTTATCAACATTAAAAATGTTTGCCCTTTGGCAATATTAAGGAAATCAAAATGAAAGAGTAGAAAATTTTCACAATATATGTATTTGACAAAAAACAAAATATGTAAAGAATTATCATAATTCATTAATATTTTTTAAAAAATCAATAAAAACCTGGCAGATTATTTGAACAAACTCTTCACACACATGAAGATATACAAATAGCGAATTAGTATGTGAAAACTTGTAAATTATTAGTAATAATCAAGGAGATACAGATTATAACACTATAAAATATTACACGCATAAGAATGGCAATACAGAATATCATACTGGCAAGGATGTGGAGCAAATGGAATTCTTATGTGTTGCTAGTGGGAATGTAAATTACTGAAACCACATTGGAAAACTTCTGACAGCTTTTTTCAAAAGTTAAGCATATACCAGGCCATTCTTTTCCTAGGTATGTATCTACAAAGACTTGTGTGTAAATGTTCATGATAACCCCAAACTGGAAACAATCTAACAGCCAAAAACTAGAAACAAATACCTATCAACAGGTGAAATACCCATTCAATGGAATACTTTTTGGCAATAAAAGGGAACACATAACATTCATGAACATCAAAACCGTTTTGTTGAGTGAAACAAGACAGACTCAAAAGAATATCTACATTTACAAAAAATGCAAATGAGTCTATGGTGACAAAATGCAGATCAGTAGTTGTGTGCAGACGGATAAAGGTAGGGACGGCCTGCAAAGACTCATGAACAATATTTAAGAGTGATGGAAATGCTTTGCATCCTGTCTGTGGTGGACACATGGCACGGGGCTACTGAGGCAGCTTTATTTAAGGCCAGCCTCAGACAGGTAGGAGGGTGCATGGCTTGGGACTTCTGGGGTGGCTTTATTTAAGGCCAAGCTCTGGACAGGTGGGAAAGTGAGAAGAGTGGTTAGGAAAAACTAAGGGAGAGGAATTTGTCTGTCAGTTTCCTGTCCTATGGAGGCTTGTGTATTGCTGTGAGGCTGGAGGCTAAGCCACCAGTGTTGCAAAATGCCAGCAAGTTTATCCATGGTGGAAAGGTTTCAGCAGAGCTTCCAGACCAAGAAAGAGTCAGAAGAACAAAGAGGCCATTGACTTCTCAAAGAATTGGCCAATGAAAATCTTATGAATAGCAGTGAAACACTGTCTGATATATTACTGGAATCCTTTATGAATATCCCTGAAACATTAACTGATGTAGTGCTGGAAGACAATCCCATCAGGCAAGGCAGGCACTCAAAACATGACTGGGGAAGAGCTGACTCCTTAGATTAGAGAAAACCTTAATGACATGGATGAAGTAAAGCTTTTGGGACCTCAGTTGGCTGATGTGGCACAACTCAAAATGAGTAGAAACACCTGCAAACATCCATTAATAACTGGAAAATGTAATGTATGAGGTATGAATCTAGGAAAACTAGAAGTTGTCAAAAATGAAATGGAATGCATAAAGAGCAATATCCTATGCATTAGTGAGCTGAAATGGACTGGTTTTGGCCATTTTGAATCAGACAGCCATACAATGCAGTATGCTGGGAATGACAAATCGAAGAGGAATGGTGTGGCATTCATTGTCGCAAAGACTGTTTCAAGATTTGTCCTGAAGTACAATGCTGTCAGTGATAAGATAATATCCATATGCCTAAAGGAAGACCAGTTAATACTACTATTATTCAAATCTATGCACCAACCACCAAAGCCAAAGATGAATAAATTGAAAATTTTTACCAACCTCTGCAGTCTGAAATTGACCAAACACATAATCAAGATGTGTTGATTATCACTGGTGACTGGAATGCAAAAGTTGGAAAAAAAGAAGAATCACCAGCAGTTGGAAGTTATGGCCTTGCTGATAGAAATAATGCTGAAGACAGCGTGATAGAATTTTGCAAGATCAACAATTTATTCATTGCAAATACCATTTTTCAACAACATAAATGATGGTTATACATGTGGACTTTGCCAGAATACACAGGAATCAGATTGACTACATTTGTAGCAAGAGGCAATGGAGAAGTTCAATATCTTCTTCCAAAACAAGGCCAGGAGCTGATAGTAGAACAGACCATCAGCTTCTCATGTTGTTGTTTTTGTTGTTATATGCCGTCGAGTTAGACCTGACCCATAACAACCCCTCTTTGGGTTTCCGAGGTAATATCACTATGGAAGTAGATTGCCCAACCTTCCTTCTGAGGAGTGGCTGGTGGGTTTGAACTTCCAGTCTTCTGGTTAGCATTCAAGTGCCTTAAGCACTACACTACCAGAACTCCTTCAACTGCTCATATCCAAGTTCAATTTGAAGTTGTATATAATTAAAACAAGTCTATGAAAGTCAAAATATGACCTTGATAATATCCCTCCTGAAGGCAGAGACCATTTAAAGAATAGTTCTGATGCACTGAACACCAATGATCAAAAAACAGAGGTACTGTGGAATGAGATTAAGAACATCATCCATGAAGAAATCAAAAGGTCATTAAAAAGATAAGAAAGGAAGAACAGACCAAAATGGATGTCAGAAGAGACTCTGAAACTTGTCCTTGAGCAGAGAGTAACTAAAGCAAGTAGAAGAAATGACAAGATAAAAGAGCTGAAGAGAAGATTTCAAAGAACAGCTCAAGAAGACTAAGCCAATTATTATAATGTACTATGCAAAGACCTGGAATTAGAAAACCAAAAGGGAAGAATGTGCTCAGCATGTCTCAAGCTGAAAGAACTGAGGAAAAATATTAATCCTCAAGTTGCAATATGGAAAGATTCTATGAGAAAAATATTGAATGATGCAGGAAACATCAAAAGAAGATGGAAGGAATACACAGAATCACTGTACCAAAAAGAGTTGGTCAATGTTCATCCATTTAAGAAGGTGGCATGTGATCAAGAACCAGTGGTACTGAGGGAAGAAGTCAAAGCTGCACTGAAGGAATTGGTGAAGAACTAGGTTTCAACAATTGACAGAATACTCATTGAGATGTTTGAACAAACAGATGCTGCACTGAAGGCACTCATTTGGCTATGCCAAGAAGTCTGGAAGACAACTACCTGGCCAACTGACTGGAAGAGATCCATATTTGTACCTATTACAAAGAAAGGTGATCCTACAGAATGTGGAAATTCTCAAACAATATCATTAATATCACTTGCAAGTAAAATCTTACTGAAGATAATTCAAAAATATTTGCAGCAGTATATTGATTGACAGAGAACTTCCACAAATGCAAGCTGTATTCAGAAGAGGATGTGGAATGAGGGATATCATTGCTGATGTCAGATAGATCTTGAATGAAAGTAAAGAATACCAGAAAGATGTTTACTTGTGTTTTATTGACTGTGCAAAAGCATTTGATTGTGTGGATCATAACAAATTATGGATAACATTGAGAAGAATGGGAATTCCAGAACACTTGATTGTACTTATAAGGAACCTGTACATAGGTCAGGAGGCAGTTGTTCGAACAGAACAAGGTATACTGCATGGTTTAAAATCAGGAAGGGAGTGTGTCAGGGTTGTATCCTTTCACTGTACTTATTCAGTTTGTATGCTCAGCAAATAATCCAAGAAGCTGGATTATATGAAGAAGAATGTGGCATCATGATTGGAGGAAGACTCAGTAACAACCTGAAATATGCAGATGATACAATTTTTCTTGCTAAAAGTGAGGATGACTTGAAGCACTTACTGATGAACATTGAAGACTACAGTCTGCAATATGGGTTACACCTCAATGTAAAGAAAACAAAAATTCTCAAAACTGGTCCAATAAACAGCTTCACAATAAATGGAGAAAAGATTGAAGTTGTCAAGGATTTCATACTACTTGGTTCTACAATCAACAGCAATGGAAGCAGCAGTCAAAATATCAGATGACATATTGCATTGGGCAAATCTGCTGCAAAAGACTTCTTTCAAGTGCTGAAGAGCAAAGACTTCTCCTTGAAGACTAAGGTGCTCCTAATCCAAGCCATAGTATTTTCAATCATCTCTTATACATTTGAGAGTTGGACAACGAATAAAGAAGACTGAAGAAGAATTGATGCTTTTGAGATGTGGTATTGGAGAAGAATGCTATTATACCATGGACTGATAAAAGGACTAATACATCTGTCCTGAAAGAAGTGCAGCCAGAATGCTCCTTAGAAGTCAGAATGGCCAGACTTTGTCTTGCCTACTTTGATCATGTATTCAGGAGGAACCATTCCCTGGAGAAGAATATCATGCTTGGTAAAGTGGAGGGTCAACAAAGAAGGGGACAGCCCTCAACGAGATGGATAGACACAGTAGCTGCAACAATGGGCTCAGGGCTCAGGTTTAGCAGAGATCATGGGGTTGGCACAGAACCAGGCAGTGTTTTGCTCTGCTGTGCACAGGGTCGCTTTGAGTCAGAGATGACTCAACTGTACCTAACAACAACAACAACAACAAGAAAATGATTTTTTTTCTCATCATATGTATGGTAAAGTCAAGAGAGTTCAGAAACTTTTTTTAGGAATCTTCTGCCTCTAAAAACTATCAACTTCAATATTGTAATTAGCCATTGCTTGTACTATATTTTTTTAAAACCGCTTATTGTGGGTGTAAGGTAGACATAAAATTGTATTTTTCAACAGTTTTTACTCATGAGTGAATCCAAATTACACATTGTGGAATTCAATTTTCTTGCTATTGCTATCACTTGTTATTAGGCATTGTTGAGTTGTCTCTGATCCATAGAGACTTTATGTGTAATAGAAAAAAAATGTTGCCCTGTCCTGTGCCATAAGGAACTCTGGTGGGTAGTGGATAAGGCATTTGGCTGCTAACCAGAGGGTCAATGGTTCAAAGTCAACAGCTGCTTCATGGAAGGAAGATGGGGCAATCTACTTCCATAAAGATTTACAGCCTTGGAAACCCAATAGGGGTCACTATGAGTAGGACTAGACTGGATGGCAGTGAGCTTGGTTTGGTTTTTTGTCCTGTGTCATCCTCACAATTGTTGCTATTCTGGAGCCAATTGTCACAGCCACTATATGAATCCATCTTATTGAGGGTCTTCCTCTTTTATTCTGATCCTTTATTTTACCAAGCATGTCCTCTCCTCATTTCCTGCCTGTTGTCATTGGGTCAATTCTGACTCCAGCAACTTCACAGGACAGAGTAGAATTGTTCCATAGGGTTTACAAGGCTGCAGTCTTCACAGAGGCAGACTGACACATCTTTCTTGCACAAAGGGGTTGCTGAGTTTGAACTAAGAGGAAATGTCAACAAAATGAGTTAATTAAATTTCTACCTGAAAATAAAGCTCATCTAAAGCAGTTGTTGTCGAAGCATGATCTGGGGATTAGTGGAAATCCATGACACCCAGGCAGAAATGACATGAACTTTGTAACTTTATTATTATTATTATTGTAATTTGGGTGAAAGTTTACAGAGCAAACTCATTTTCCATTCAACAGTTCATACATATTTTGTTTCATGGCATTGATTGAAGTCCTCATAATGTAACAGCTCAGTTTCCATTTTCTCCCTGTGGTTACCTTTTCCTTGTGCCCTTTCCTATCCATTCCTGCCCTCTGAGCTATCTTTCTGTGGATATGCTGCCTTTCTGGTATGTCATGGTTAATTATTCTAAGGAGTGCACAAAGCTGTGTAATTGTTCACTTTATACACCTTTCTAATATTTGGCTGGAAGCCAGGGAAGTGAATTCAATTCGAGGTCCAAGGGTGCCTATGGACCATAGTCTTGCAGGTTTCACCAGTCACCATCAGACCAGTGACCCCAGTCCTTTTTTCTTTTTTTTTA